CACCGCCCTGCAGGAGAGGCTGCGCCCGGCAGTGCGCCAGCCCCGAGCGCTGAACGCCGGGCCACCCAGGAGCCCTTGGCCGCCGCGTCATGTGGTGGGGCGGCCGGCGTCGCGCGGGGGGACACCGGCTTGGCGACGCGCTGCTCTCGCCTTTAAGAGTTCGGGGCGCCTTCCCCTCTCAACAGACTAAATCCGTTTAAAGGAAAGCAACACACCACATACTCGTCGAACCAAATTCTGCTCTCGCCGGGACTGGGGTTGCACAGCGGACTCTCCATTTGGGGACTCCTCGGTTAGCGCAGAGCGAAGCCCCGGCTGGCTCCAGGGAGCACGCTGACCTCCCAAGCCCCAGCTCGCCCTTCGCGTGTCGGGGCTTGTTCCGCGTTCCCGCTTCGGAGAGTACTCGGGCCCTCGCGTCCTCCGGCAGGAATCTGTCGCTCCGAGAGGGTGGCATTTAATGCCCGCAGTGTTGGGGCTGGCGACGCGCGGGCCGGACGTGGGGAGGTCGAGGAGCCTGCGTCGCTCTGGTGTCGGCTCCCGGATTGCAGGCCTAATCGATGCATTTTTCTGAGTGAGTCGGTGGCTCCCCCACCCACCTCGTCCGATCTTTCCCCACCTCCTCCTCCTCTCTGGTCTCCTCCCTCCTCTGGGCCGGGCTGCAAATGGCTTCTTTTCCCGAGACCGACTTCCAGATCTGCCTGCTCTGCAAGGAGATGTGCGGCTCGCCGGCGCCGCTCTCCTCCAACTCGTCCGCGTCATCCTCGTCCTCGCAGACGTCCACCTCGTCCGCGGGCGGCGGCGGGGGTCCCGGGGCGGCGGCGCGCCGCCTGCACGTCCTGCCCTGTCTGCACGCCTTCTGCCGCCCCTGCCTCGAGGCGCACCGGCTGCCCGCGGCGGGCGGCGGCGCTCCGGGAGAGCCTCTCAAGCTGCGCTGCCCGGTGTGCGACCAGAAAGTGGTGCTGGCCGAGGCGGCGGGCATGGACGCGCTGCCTTCATCCGCCTTCCTGCTCAGCAACCTGCTTGACGCCGTGGTGGCCACGGCCGACGAGCCGCCGCCCAAGAACGGACGCGC